AAAGTGTTTAGCTAGAATATCAGCCTTGATAAAATTAGAAGACAACAGGATACCATGGAAGTCCAAGATATGAGGAACTGTAGTGGGCCTGGCAGTGATTTTCCTATATACAAATCAGAAAGTGTGATTAACAAGGTTGGACTTTTCTTTCTGATTGGTCAGGTACTACGATTTTGCGGCAGCAATACTCCGTTTGACTTTGGCAGAAAGATTCTTGGATCGGTAGAGAAAATATGGATCGCCAGAGCGCTACCAACGCCTTTTGTAGGAGTTACGAAGGGTGATAACGGCGCAAAGTTCAGGAGAGAGCACGACAAGTTTCTTTGACGAGTCAATCATCTGCGTGGATCTGTAATAGCAATTTTTAAGACTTTTACTGGGAATGTGGATGTTGCAGTCAAGCTGCTGTGCATTCGAGATATTGTGGTCGAAAGATAATTTGGAACTTTCGTGCCGATACTTCTCCCAATCAATGACAAGAACTAAGTTAATATAATTGGGAGTAGCGTTAGAATGAGAAAGGATAACAGGTAGATGATCCGGGGTAACAACCCTATTGGCAGTTTATGAAAAGGAGTACCGGTAGTTTACGAGGAAAAGATCAATGGTAGAAGGGTTTCGATTTGGCGAGACACGTGAGAAGGAACCAGGAAGGGAGATAGAGTAGACAGTTTGGTCTGAGTATTTTTTTAGCACATGGCCGTTCCAGTTGGACGAAGTGTTATTCCGTGTAGGGTGTTTAGTGTTAACTACAGGGACACCCGGTAGGGAGGCTTGATGATCGTCATGATGCGCGAGAGGTACGGGGGATTTGGGATGGTCTGACGCGGCATGCTAGGGGAAGGCCTTCTTAGCCAAGTAAGCCAGGACTCGAGGGCATTGCAAGTAGTTCGTCATGTAATCACCGGGACAGTTGGCACCCTAGGGTGGAACATTAAACAGTTTATGGCATTTCTTGAAGGAATGATCAAGGCCGCATATGAGACAACGTGGTGTCTTGTGATAAATAGCAGAAAAATATTCAAACGCCTGGCAACGAAAGCAATGGGTTTAATATTTGCCATTGAAGTATTTTTTGGTGAGGTGAGGTCCTTAGTAACTATCTCATCAAGCAAGGCTTGATCGTTAATTTTGGGGAAACCCTTCAGCACGGTCGAGAAGGGTCTCTTGAAGGAAAGGGAATAAGTGTGAAAGTTGAGCTTGGTGTAACTGAAGGAGGTGTTGATCGCCAAGAATGGCCTAAGGTAAAAATTTTTTATTTTTATTTGATCACACGTGTGCTATCTTTTTCTTTGAGAGTGTATATGGTACAGGCAGTGTGTTTAACGTGGGCATTTTGTAAAATGACTGGGCATTGTGTAAAATGGCCGTTCGAAAAGACATTGTGCAAAATACCCGTAACAAGTTTCGGTCAATCTATAATATGTCCGGTCATTATACAGAATACCTAGAGGGTGGTGGTCAATGTATTGAAACGCTCTGATAAGGAAATTAAAGACTGTGTTTTTTATTGAGACAATATATCTCTTAGTCAAAATCAACATATAGTCATTATAATGATACTTAATCATAAGGATCATGTATTGGAGCAAGACAAAGAACTGTGGCACTTGGAATTATAGAGCTGATCGGTAGCTCTGCACGCGCACTTTTTTGAAACACATTTGTTTTTGCAGTTGCATTTCTTATACCCCAATAAACTCAAAAGACCTATAGATTTTGGTTCCGCATAGAAAATTTAAGTTGAATAATTAAAAGATTAGGCCTAATGCCAGATGTACATAATATAAAGGAATTATTTTAGACTATATCTGTTGGCCTTATGAAGATACCAAGTTTAGGTGGCAACAGACAGAGCACAAGCGATAATAAATGAAAATAAAAGAATGTCAACTATGGATTCAACGAACAGTGGACATTATATAAAATGTCCGGGCTATTTGTGAAATACCTGCCCATTATATATATTGCTAAAAAAATTGGGGATTCTACACAATGCCCAGTCATTTTACAAAATGTCCACGTTAAACACATTGCTCGTAACATATACTCCGTAAACCTCCAACACTCGTCCCCGCGTTTGAAGCACGGGTTTATCAGAAAGCCATAGTGATGAACCGACTGGTAGATCTCGGAGGAAAGGGATCTCCTATCTCTCGCTCCTAATCTTTTCAAATTCCTTTCTCCTTCAATAACTATCACAGATCGCTTTACCATGATAGGTGAATGAGAAAAGGCGAACATTTTATTCTAGATGATCTGCAGTATTTAAGATACTTTTTCTTAGTCTCTCTAGCAAAAACTTTCTCGAAATATTTCATAACATATCGTATGTTATTTCGGCACAAGCAGCGATAATTCTTTCACGCAATTCGGTCATTAAATTATTATTAAGGTATTAAGTTTCCCATTCTTTTTAAGAATAAAAAACACATACTACCATTGGATACTTTCATTTAGTACAATCAGCAATATTCAGACGATATTCAATTGTTCAGATACTCGCAGAATATAAAAAAAGGATCTACCGAAGCCAAGACTCCCTACGATTATTTTTAAAAATAATCTTAAAAATAGTAATAGTTTAAATGTTTTATTGTAAAAAAAATTATTTATAAGATATAATAATTATATACGAAATGGTTAAAAGACACCATTTTCGCTCCTTATCAAATCATAGTCTGCATCGCTCTATTACTCCTTACGATCCCGTGACCAATATCGTTTATATAACGAGTCACGCACATACTCAGAAGTCACCACACTTACGCTCTTTTCTTTGTCACACTTCTGCTCTCGATTTTTCACACACATATTCAAGGGTCATCAAACTTCACATTCACACTCTGGGTCATCACGTGTCAATTATTTGTTGTTAGGGCACCGTTCGTCTAGCGTGAGGACGAGTAGCCGGTAACACGCTCTAAAAATGGGCGCTCTCCTTCTTTGAGGAAGGCCGCTCGCGCCTAACGGCTCGGCTTCCTATGTGATTAATTAAAGATAAACGTTATACGCGCCATTGAATTCGTCTTGAAAATTACAGTAAACTGACATTAATATAAGTGCGTAGTTGCATTTTAAAAAATTGCATTGATCTTGAAATCTCTTTAAATTATAATGTAAAAAAAGCAAAACAGCATACTAAATCACCCATCATGTAGAACAACTTTTATCTAAAACATTTGTCTGTACCTTCAATCATTACGAACATATTCCAGTGTACACGAATAAAACGAACATACTAGTGTATATATAGAGAGTATCAAAAATAGAAGTACTGCAATCCATCATACTAAGAATCATTGTAAACGCGCCCTGGAACGTGAGGAACAAACAATTACGTAACGATCATATGATCAGATCAGTCGAAAAGGAAATAAAGCGTCTATGTGACAGACATAAAATAAGACTAGAAAATCACTCAAGTGTCGTAGCAAATAAGTTATACTCGGAAGATCTTCCTAGAAGATTACGCAGAAAACACCCAAACGATCTTCTCCCCATAACAAAAGGGGCGATTACTATATAGATGCATTCCGCTGATAAAGCATCTACGTGCTACATCCCCAAATACTACTAAAACAATTTATTAAATGTCCACCCTAGACAAATTGTAATGTATAGTGGGGATATTAAAAAAAATAAAAGGGTGTGTGCAACTCACTAAACTGACTAAAAATCGAGTAAACGGATCGAAATCTTAACGGCATCCGAGATAAACATATGTTTTTTCTGAAAAAGGAATGTACGTGGACTGAATTGAGAACACCGAAATATGTCGATAAATATTAGTAATACGAACAAATATGTCAGGTAAAAATTACAGGGTATGATATACTACATACCACAGCAGGAGATATTTCACCGCCAGGTGACAGTGAAACGTCCTGCAAAGATCACGTCACAATTTTTCACATCTCAATAAGTGTTGTAAAATTAGAAATGTAATCCTTACCTTTGATTACTATCTGCATCAACTTATAATGCGATTTTATATGTAACTCTAGAACTACCAAGCAATGTACATAACTCATTTTTTGAATTTTCTTTAAATATTACAAAATTTCTGTTTACTAAGATTTTGTATGAGATTTATTATAGTACCTGTATAAACAAATTAATCCATTAACGAATTTTTTTTATAAAAATACCTTTACAATTTCAATGATTCTAGAATAAAAAGTTTAAAATATGTAATTTTGAATAGTCTAATAATTCTAGTATTATTAAAGAGCAAGAGAAGGTCAAGTTTATATCTTTTTTAAGGAACGCTAAACTTTTTCTTACACCAGATAATGCAATTTTTTATTTAGTACAAAAGATGATTTATCTATTTATATCGTAAAGTTAATAGTTCAAGCGATATTTTAATATAAATACTGGACTCTTACGTTTTACGAATTTAATTTTGTTTACTGAAAATGGTCAGTACAACCACCATTTGAATAGAACACGTTTAAAATTGTTGTAGTTATGATTTTCTTAGATTATTTAACTGTGTTGAAGTAAAACAGGTACTTGGAAAACTCCACCAACAAAAATAATTCATCTGGGGGCCGCGTTCGTTCGTGTGGCCTCTGGTCGATAGTATAATGTGTAATGTGTAATCTGCCTTTTATTAAAATATATTCATCAACAAACTGCATCAGCACAGTATGCCGATTCCATTAAAAAAAGATAAAGTAGATTTTGACAATAACTTCCTAGATGCCCCTACAAATAAAATACTAAAACCATAATATGCTCCTTCGAAAACTATTCAAACTTCGTTAAAAAAATGTGTCGCGTCGGGTATTAACAACGAAATAATTAAGGTGTTAAAGTTACACCAACCGCGCTGTATATTATACATGTTCAGTTAGTTTGTTGATTACATAAAAAATTATTATATTTCTTCTACTGCTATATTAAGTCATATTTGAATAAGAATGACATTGAATATTTTCATTTTGCAGTGTGTAATGATTATTACTGAAACAAATTTCTTCATTTGTTCGAAGGTGAACTCATTGCACGTTGTAGTTGGATCGTTGCTGTTGGGTGCTGTGGTATTGGTCGTAGGCTTGGTACAACTTGCGCCAGGGGCAGAAGCTGCGCAAAATTCGACATCTCTGATTGTTGTTGGAAGTACTTTACTTGTGGTTGGTGTGTTCCTTGCCACGGTTAGAGCTTTATGCATCAAAAAGCAGAAGTGCGCCCACAAGGATGAAACTCATCAAAGAAGTGTAACTAGCATAGACATGCTGTTAGCCCAACATAGGTAAGAATAAACACGATATTTTATTAAATAATATGGAAATAATATTTCTTTATTACCAGACTGAATTTGATACTTAAACACTTGCCAAAACTGCACTTTCAGTATAATTTTCATTCTATTATTGAAACGACAAATGAATCAAAGGAGCACAACAAAAGTTATATACTTTTTCTGATTTAAAGAAAAAGATTCTATTTTAAAAATCTTTCGGTAATTATTTAGAAAAGGGATCTTCCCACCGATCACAATAACCTTGACATACATTGTCAAAGATTCATTTATTGAATTATTCTGAACAACTCTTGCCTACGTATACATACAATGATGGACATACTTATAAATTCACGTGATTTTTTTGTATTTCTGTAATTTGTATTTGAGATTCATCATTTTGTTTTTGTACGGGTACACTAAAATACATGACAAATCATATTTCAAAATTATTTTTTGCAACACTTATGCAATTAAAAAATTATTACGATTATTTGAAAAAAACGCTGCTTCGTGGTTGGACAAAACTATTAGTTCAGTAGTAACAAATCGTTTCGTTAACGTTAACTTGTAACGGTAAAAATATTTAAAAGTCTGTTGCTATATCATTACGATTTATTATTTGCAAAATTCTAGTGTTTGTGCTGAGAAATGAGCTTTTTATGAATTCTCCTCAATTTTTCCCACACTTTCTTTATTCCTGCTTTTAGTAGATTGATCGTTGCGTATTTGGTATTATTTTTATGAATAAGAGTTGCAGAGACTCGCCATATGTTTTCCATTGGGTTTAAGTCAGAAAATGCTGCCAAACATTTTAAAGCCTACACATTATTTACCTTAAACCACTGTTTTGTTCCTCGATTTCGACAAATCGCAGCATTATATTGTTAGTATTTTATCTTTTTTTGACCATACTAATCTACGATGTAAGGAAGCAAATGTGATTCGTACACTTATTGATAATTAAGACTATTTATTTTGACTAAAACAAATTTTATGAAGAGTTTTCCAAAAGCACTATCTGCTCACCACAGCATTACAGTTCCAACACAAAAAGCTACTTAGGCGTGTGCGGGCTGCCTAATGTGTCGGTTAGCCGATTGTTCGGGCCGGGCTGGAAAAATTTGGATAGTACAGACAGCCCGATCCACCTGATCCGTTCCAAATCTTAACCTGTTGTTCTATAATATTGTATTAGTGTCGTGATGAGAATTTTAAACTGAATTTGACGAATTTAAATGGCGTTTACTCTTTTCGATGATAAATTAGATATTACGATAATTATTTAGTTTGGGGTGTTCTCCGCCGATTTCGATGAATTTTGGATATACTATCGGGAACGTAATTCAAAGCAAATTTTTCCTGTGATAAAAGTGTCGCTGTTTCTTAGTTTCTGAGATAATGGCAAAAAAACTTTTGCATATCATTAAAAAAATATTCACGAATCTCAAGTACCAATTACAAACGTACCAAAAAATTAAATGAGCTTATAATGATGTCTGTTGATATACAACTGGCGGTCTCTTTTAGTTTTCGAAATATTTGTAAAAATATACCCGGAAAGCGAAAGCCACGGTGAGTATTTACTAAAAGGGGGATCTTTCTTACGATCTTAGCCTTGATATATGCAGTGAACATCGTCGTCCTCACTACGTCTTCACCAGCTTCCTCTTAACACACTATAGCATTTAACGATCGGCCGCGGTTGAACGGTGTAGCATGATCCGACTATTGTCGAATTCGACGATTTCAAAGTATCTTTCTTTTCTATTTGTAGTTCCTTCCTATATCTGAAACCTTTTTTTATCGCGGTTGGTATCAATTCAATCAGAAAAACATAACAGGCATAATGGTGAAAGTTTTATTCATCAAAAGCCAAAAATATTTTGAGTTGAGGATCTGAAGCCCATCGCAAGTCTTTTTTTGTTTTTCCCTCACTCGCCTTATCCTTCTCTATGTCAACCGTGCTAAAATCTTCGTTTCTTGGGGTCGAATCGATTATACCTCTTCATAATTGCAACATTCATCGAGACGCGAATGTTGCAATATAATATTCACTGTATTGTTGAAGTTGTTGTTCTATGTGCCTAGTGTTTTCAATTTTTTAGCAGTGACAATTGGTTCAAAAATTATGAATATCATATCATGCACAGATTGTTCATTTTACCTTCATTCATTCATGTTATTTCTTATAATACCAACAGGGTGTTTCTAAATTACATGTCACGACCACCAGTTAGTGATGGCATAAATAGCATAATAAATATATTTGATAAGCCATGGTGTTATTTTTTTAAAATAACTTCAAATTTAACCTAATTTTGTAAGAGTAGAGAACCCACTCTACATTGTACATTCTAGAACGGTATGTATTTTTAATTATTTTCTTCGGATTAGTTTTAAGATAAAAATATATCTATTTATTGTACGTACTATTTTCAATAAAAGAATTTCCTTAATTCGTGTTTGGAAACGAATGATTCCAGGAGTCCATAAAATTCGCCAATATTTTGAATAGAAGCTATCGCTCCGCAAAAATCTTGTAACTCATCATCGCTCCCCAAGGGTTTACAATCCATTATCGCCCCACTAGTAGGCTATATTTCCCACATTGGGGACCACTGGTGTAGGATCACGCTGTGGTGATCGCGATATATGTTTTCGAAACACCCTATACATTCTTATGACACATACAAGTGGAGATTTCGAAAAGAAACCTTGTTAAAATATTTGATAAAAATTTATACGATAAATGATAAATGATAAACCTAGTTAAAAGATTGTGAGAAATTCGGTACAAAAAATATATGTCGTCAACTCAAGATATTACTTGATAGTCGTTTCAAATAGTACAAAAGAAAGAAATTTGGGCAGTTTAAGTATTAACTAAACATGAATTTAACAAAAAATGAAGAATATAAAACAATATGGACCAACAGAACTATCCTCTCATATTCTAATCAGAATCATCAAAGTAAACAATTCACTTCATAAAATTACTAACCGAATACAAATTTTTAAATACAAGAACTAAATCAGGGTTAATCTTCTGCTATAATAAGTAGGTCAAGAAAAATAGTGAAAAAAAACCTATGTATCTTATATTCTGCACACTATGAAACAAACCCTACATTAATTGTTAGAGTATCATATAGATTCCATAAAAGGAAATATAATATAATTGATAAACAATGAGTTTATTTTTTAAATGAAACTGACCTTTGGGAAAAGTTAATAGAATATATTAGTAATTTTTCCCTGATTGTCAGTATTTTTCGCTAAAAACAGACAATCTATATATAAATAATAAGTTTATAGGTATCACAATAAGTCCAAAAACGGTAAAGAAAATGTAGGAAGGAATATGAAAGATGTTCTTTGAAAATAAATAAAATATACGAAACTTTAATTTTACAGAGACTTTACGGTTTTGACACCTGACGAACTGGAGGACCTTGTTGGACGATCAACATCTGCCTTGGAAAATAAAATTCGCAAACAGGATCACAATACCTAGGTGTTGTCGGCCTCGAAGAAGGCCCGTCCATCATCACCGCCCTGCTCTAACACACAATCATCGTCGACGTCACCGGGAACTAGTTCATCCATTCTCTATACACATCGTTACGACTCTCGTGAACATAGTCTGGTTTAAAGTGGTGTAACTTTAGCCTTATTTGCTAGAGACTATTCAACAAACTGTTGGGCACGCGAAAAGCAGCAGTTTCATACTTTAATGATTGCACGCTGCCTTTAATTTGATGCAAATGTATCTATAAGGTAATCGAGTGAAGTCGTTATGAGTAAAAAACAATGTTGTTACTCTTTCAATTCTGAGGCAAATGAAAAGAATTGTTTGCTCGCAATAGTGAACAATTCCTTCATTTGTCTGTTAATTTGCGATGAAACAAGGTGAATGCCTTAATTCTAGAAAAGAATGAAGTGGATGGGAACTGACCTCCCACTGGGTAATTTTTAATATAAATCACTTGACTTCGGAACTAGAAAAACTGGTAGTGGAAGAAATTCGACATTGGAAATGCATACCACAGGGAAAAGTAAACCTAATTATTAATTAATCCACTATCTACCCTTCATTATTATTTAACTTTCAATTGACCTTCGTCGGGATATGCACAATACACTCGTGTTACCCTGTAAAGAGTTCACGTGTTGTAAGCAAATTGTAATAACTAAATAACGTACGAAAAAAATCATTTTAGGTCTAAACAAATCGAACGCACAAATACTTTTCTGTTTGTGCACTTATGACCATTATATGCGAACGATGTACATAAATTACTTTTTTTTGGCTTAACCTTTGCAATATGATATTCAGCTAAGATAAGAATACCATGAAATTATTTCTTACACAAGAAGATGAATCCATCCCTCGCGATACTTGTTTCGGCACCATATCGAAATAATATTAAAAACAATATTATAGAGGATTATCAAAAAGATTAAAAAGGAGAGAAATATTCTCTCGCAAAGAGTATTCGAAACATCTGACGTCTGCTTCACAGCTAAAAATCATTGTAAGTTTTTCGATTGTTCTGAACATTATTCACGAGAGACCAAACACTCAACGTCGTTCGAGACTTTATTGTGTTCAAATCTTTAAGATACAAGTCTAACTGTTAACTTTTAATATTCAACAGGAACAATTTGTATTATAAGTTTTTTGTATGAAATTTAGATTATTGTACCGTTTAATTACTTCATCGCTTCATTTACGGCCGAAAATAGGGACGGTAAGGGTATAGTACAATTTTATGTGTCTATCAACGTAAAACGCTTAAATTACTCTAAAAAATGATTAAGCAAATCACATAGCATGAAGCGATCTTATCACAGTCAAGAGATACAATATAAATGCTCGAAGAGTCTATTTAATTAGATCTTCGAGCTCCATCACTTGTCAGGAATAAATACTTTGACTCCGAATATTTATCACTGCATGATGTATATGCACATATCTCCAAATGATTAAGTAACTCTAAACGAATTGAAACAGAAACTTTTGAAGTGGATCAGTCGATCTCAACTTTCCAGGCGGGACTAATGAAGAAACATTTTAGAAAGTCTTTCACTCAACTATCTTTGACATATCTACAAAAAGTACTGCGGTTTGTCATTGATGATTATCAGTTACATGGACCGTTTCGTGTTCTCCTTTGTGATCATTCTTACGTAAAGTATTTATCACTCGCTAAACGGTTTAAGAATTAATCAACTATAGGACAGATTTTTGTGATGCCATCTAACGAGTTCCTGCTAATGTATTATAAATAACACCTTATCAATAGCGTGCCCCTACACGAAGGGATACACTTCAATAAAAACAAGAAAAAGAACAAATACAAATTTCCTGTGTTAAATTTTCGAATAACAAATCACCTAACATAACAACGATCATGAGCGCAGATATCGAGTCAATTATGGCTCATACCGAAATTTTTGTCATACATGCTTAGGAAGTAGTTTCTACATGTTATTACGTAATATTTCTAACATATAGAAGAAAATAACATGTTTAAAGATATAAATATTATAAATTAATACATTCATTAATTATACATACTTTCTAAACGTGTTTCGTGCACTTCACATATTTTGTAGTATATTTACTATCACCTCATTTAGAATATGAAGACAGGGAAGAACGAATCCGACATCGGCTGGATGGAAGTTAAAATACGCACAGTTTGTGTAGCTTAAGATAGACACCGAGCCGAATTCAGCTCGAAGTATTCATAAACGTTCTAATAAGCTAGCGAGTTCTACGATCAACGATGTATTCAATAAAATATTTTTAGGGGATCGGAACTGTATTCAAATAAAAAATTTGTACGCCTTATCGGGTTATGATTTCGCTGATTTTCGCAGCATAGGGTAGACTTATCATTGCAGCCATTGCGCCGGTTTTGACCATTTTCGCAACTACTGCTTCTCTTTAAAAATCTTTTCCATTTTTAAGGTTAACATCAGAAAATAACAATTGATAGAATGATATTCTGTGAATTACTTCGCTAATCATACAGTTAGGGAAACTTGTTATGTTTAGCTTTTTCTATAGTAAAGCAAAAATGTTTTGGAAAAAAAGTTACGGAACATCGGTCTTGATGCTTCAAATGTTAAAGATACACGGCTACAAAACGTTTAAGCGTGTAAAAATAATTAAATGATCTCAAAAAGTGTTTCATTGTTACTTTGAATGTTACATTTCAATGTTACTTTTATGAAAATATATGCTGATCAGGAATAGTACAATCTCTTTTTAATTTTCTGTTTCCAGTCGTGGAATGGTTAAAACTGGTGTTATAATACGGCACTAGGTTTGGTCACCTAATCTAAAATGTATGTTCAAAATAATTATTAATGTATTACTAATGTATGAATTTAATATATAATACAAGCTATATAATTATTTTAGTGGTTTATAATGCATCATAATATGGTGCTTTTTATACCTTCTGCGATAATATCAGATAAGTAGTTGAATGTTACACAAGCTAAGAAAGGAAAGATATTAGTAAAGTTGAGAAAGAAAAACGTAGAATAAAAGAACAAAATTGTAAAAAGGAAGCCGAGAAACATAAAAAAAAACAAAATAATACGATCGGATTAGTTAAGATGCGTTTAATTGAAATCCATTATAAATTTATATATAAGAGACACATTAAAATGATATGATTATACAATGAAGTGTTCTTCTCCATATAATGAGGCAGACAATTTTTCATATTACGCATTTATATTGTTGATACCGCTCCGAATTTCTAACTTACGCCTTTCAAGGTAGCCAGAACTGACATCAAACATAGTCAAAACTAGTGTCTAGGTGATCAAAAAAGGTGAAATATGAATTGTTTACTATTTTTTGACTTATCAATCATCTAATGATTTTTTTGTGTACAGGAAAGTTGTATTTTAATATCAAAGGAACTTTATAATCTACTAAACCTTATTAAAGATTAAAGATAATGTGTAATCTACTAAACCTTATAGTTTTCTAATGCTGTACATGATTTTAAAAATAAATGCATTGAAATTCAAAGAAATCATGAAAGTAATCAGAATTGGTGCATCTAAATACCTAACACGACGTGGGCTTATTTTCAAGCATCGATTATCCAAGGTCAATTTATCTTCCGTCAAATATTTAAATCCATCGTGTTCTTCTCCAAATTTCCATAATGCACGAAAACTTATTTATTAATATTACTTTACTTGTTGCCACCAAACTATTTATTTATTCTTACTGATTGCTTAACAAACAATAATAAATAGTCTCGAATGTTCTCGACTATGTCGTGGGTGGTTGTTTATGCGTTAGGTAATTACTTATACGATATCAACCTTGAAATATAAGTGAATATAAATATCATAATAATATGCATTGTTTAAAAAAATATAAATCTATATGTAGGTTTAATTCGTAATAAGCATTAAAAACATTATATTCGAGTGTTATGACTGTAGAGCTGTGAAACAACTATACGGATTAAATATTATTTGAATAAATTAAATATTGAAGGGTTGTTAAAATAATATTTCATTTTCTACTCCGTTAATCTATGCTTCATAATATACGTATTCCTTGTGTAAAAATTGTTTCCATTTTGTTATACTGCAACACAGAAATTTTGAAATTATTGTGATGATTTATTTTATTAACAGTTTTTGAAATTATTTCAACAGTGTTATCTTTGTACACTCCGCGACAAAACTATAAGACACCTGCGATTTTATCTAATATTTTATTAATACTAATTTTTTCGTGAAAGTTTTCGTTATTAATCCAAAGAATCAACTGAAGTTCATGCATTTCCATAGCGGCAATGTTATTCAATTACATTGAAAAAAGTTTCATTAAAATTTCTAATTTTTGACAAAATAAGGTGCGACAAAACTATAAGACAATGTATATTTTAGGTAATAAAAAGTGGGTGGAAGTTTATGAAAAAAAATTTTTTTTATTTATTAGTAATGTATTGTGCCACCTTTATTTTTTATAGTTTCAATTAATCGCCGTGGTATCGATTTATATAAATTTTTTATTTGATCTTGACTTAATTTGGCCCATTGTTCTTCAATACGAGCTTTCAACACTTCCACCGATAAAAACTGTTTCCCATTTCCACATACATCATGTGCTAAAATTCTCCAGATGTTTTCTATTATATTTAAATCTAGAGACCTCGCGCTATGGTAAAATTGGTATATTACGGTCTTTAAAATATTTTTTTACACGTTTTGCTGTATGCACAGCGGCATTATCATGTTGAAAAATATAATTTTCACATGTCATGTGAATATAATGTTCACACTGGCATGTCGCGTTAAGTGTTCTTTTAATATTTCTATATATTTAATTGCATTCATGCTGGTGTTAATCAATTTTATATCGGTTCTCCCGTGGTACCCTGTTGCCGCCCATACCATGATGGCGCCTTCGTCCATTTGCCTCCTTGACAGATGCAATTCTCCCTTCCACAAATCATGAAAACAATATGAAATGCCATCTGGTCCATCTAAATTGAAACGTTTTTCATCTGAAAAAATAACTTTTCTTTACTTTTTTTTCACTGGAGATGTCTTTCCGCAGAATCTTCCCTAGCTGCTTTGTGTCGGTTCGTAAGTGGCGGTTTTATCTGCAATTTTCATCTTTTTAAATGCTTGACTTGTTTAATTATCCGTTGTACATTACGAATATTGGTGTGAACGCCAACTTCCGCTGTAGTTTGCCATGCTGTCAAGCTAGAATTAGACGCTACCCTCAGAAAGACCGATCGTCGTTGTCGATCGGTCGTCGCTTTTGGACGCCCACCAGGATGTTCTTTTTCCATAATTCTCTCTACTTTTTAAATAATTAAGCACGGCACATCGATTTCGCTCAATCACTCTTGAAATTTCTGAAATAGAAGTATTCTTTTCTATTAAATTTACGATCACTCTTATTTCACTGTCTGTCAGCTTTCTCCCACGCGGCATTGTAGTTATATTATGTAAAATCAAAATTACAAATGTTTAATTTTAAGTACACAATTACTTCTAACACTGTGACTACGATTGCAGCATAAGATCGACTGACGAAAAGCTACTGTCTTAGCTTTGTCGCAGAGTGTATACAGATGTCAGCCTTATATTCTTATCACAAGAGTATTTTTGGGTGCTGTATTAAACAGGAAATGTATTGACAAAATTGATAAAATAACTCATAGATTAAACTACTTAAATATCCTTACAACTTGTATTGAAAACAAGGTTGTGGTCGGAAGGATATCTCAGATAGTTTAATGTAAATAGTTGTTTCGCGGCGCGATTTCCAGAAAGCACGTCTATATTCTCAATGCTTTGCAGCTCATTGAGTGTAATCACACACTGAGATTTCCAATTTTCAATGCAATTGGAGCACAGGAGCACAGCCTGAACTGTAAATTTCTTACATCTCAATCCGCCTCTGAATCAGAAGGGACCCTTTCACTGACACATCATGCTAATTTTAGCGGAAGGATTTCTAAGTCAAGAGGTTGTAACTCCTGGCCATAAACAATCATTTTTTGGGTAAGGGAGATTTGACCCCAATTTAGGTAATCAAGCGCCGCGCGGGCACTGTCCCTTGCGTGTAAGCGCACTCCCCCACGATAAGCGGGCCCACTTTCTTATGGTCTAAAGGCCCCATACACGCTGAGACATACGGCGATGCAGGCATTGCCACATCTTTCCTCTCAATGTCATCAGCCAATGACATTGTCTCATCATCTCACTCAGTGCTGGAAGTCACCGCGAACATACCCTCACATTACCTTCTCTCTAGGAGATGAATCAGTCACGAGCAGTCTCTCACAGTCTCTCATCCAATACACATCGATCAACTTCGGAGCGACTTTCGTTCGAAGCACTCAAACGGCTTAATACTGTCGTATCTAGGATTTTAGCGTAGTTTAGGATATTTTTAAGGGACATAAACGCGAGGATGATTGTGAGCGAAGGATCATAAAGAAGGAAAGCTATAACCGCCGTAGACGTCGCAGACCCAAGGTTGCCGGTTTAGCTTCCAAAGGATACGTGTGAGAGTTTGTTCAGAGTGTGAGTGAGAAGAATGATTGCGGTGCAGGGAATGATTTTGGGGAGAGAGAGTCGTGCATTGGCCTTCGTGGCAGTTAGTTGTAGAGTTATGTGTTGTCTTTAATTGTTACTTAGTTCTGTATTGTACCGTTATCTATTTTAGTAATAATAAACATACTTATTTATTAGGTTTTCTATATTCCCGCGTGTTATTCCCGCAACAGTATGTACGATAAAAGCGTGACCAGAAAAACTCAATGAAAAATATTTTTTGCGTTTGAAAAAAGCACACACGTATATTTCTTACTTAGTGTTTTAATGCTTTATTCTTAATATGTCGGCCAGTCTCCTTCGTTATCAATAATTGCCTGGCAGCTGGAAGACAAACATTTTATCAATTTTGTAACGCAATGTTAAAGTAATGACTTCCAAATTTATTAAACTTATCGTATTAGTTGCTTGCTAGTCCATATATTCTTTCTGCGAAGCTGAACTTTGTCCATGACCAGATATTTTCAATTTGAATTAGCATCCGATGACTGTGACTGCCAATCCAATACTTCCACGATGTTTTCTTCTTTTCATGCGGTACACAGACGACTTCGATGTTTCGGGTCGTTATCTTCTTGTATTATCCACTGATCGTTTTGCATTGCGAACCACTGTCTAACAGGTGGCAACAAAGCTTTTATCGTACAGGCTGCATATACGCTATAATACTTGCAAGCTTTTCGCAAGCCTCTCACAGTCCCTCACAGTCTCTCAAAAGTCTTTCACGCATTAAACATTAATCAACTTCAGAGCGACTCTCGCCCGAGACACTCTGAAACAACTCAATACTTGCAAGCTATTCGCAAGTCTTTCAACTCTAACAAACAATCCAGTACCACTAACACTACTAGACACAACACAACATCTGTAACTCGACTGCATACGAATAAATACAGTCTCATTTCTCGCATAAAATCGATATCTCAGTGGAATTATTTCCATTGCCGTAAAAAGTCATACTATTGCCATGATCACACCATAGATTCACGGTGTCGAGTTCTCCATTTGCTCAATGTACAATAGTTGATAGTCTTCTTGGAGAAAAACATCATCAGCCCGTGATAACGTCGTGCTTTAAGAAAGAATGGATGAGTAGGCGATGAGAAAGTAAATCGAGCTGAAATTTGGTCACAATACTAACCTATCCTTTCACATGAAATACAAAAATTTCTATACCGAACCTATTCTTCTGTACGAAAAGGATCCAAAATACAGAAAATAACTAAATAAAAGAAAAGATTTATATAAGCTTCATAATTTATTTAAGTTTCATAATTGATTAAAAGTTATGAAACTCAACAGTGAGTTATAACAATAATTCAGTATTACTATTACAATATAACAATACGGTTATTCTTTCTTCTTACTTACAGTTATTAGTCAAACAATTTTGTTGTTACACGTTTATGCCGACTAGTTACAAGAATTCGAAGAACCATCTTCTGCAAAGGGAACAGATTACACTGTGGAACGCAATTTTTGTTTTGTAATAGCCACTAGGTGGTCCTTATAGAGTTCCTTACCCTAATTTCGAATCTGAAAACCAAATTACTGGGTCACGTCCAGTTTTCGAAGAAAATGTAAAAGTAAAAACAGTTTGTAAAAACGGTTGAATTTTTTAGAGAAACAAGTGTTACGTGAAAACTAAAAACGATAGGCAGTTAAAATTTATCGTAACAAATAGAGAAGAGTTGCTCGAATACGTAGCTATAAAAATGTTGGATATTGCTTTTCATTAAATGTTTGTAAATGATGATCAAAGTACAGCCCGTCGACCCAACCCGACCTAGCCTTGTTGTGTCAGAACGTTTGACAAGAACCGAGTGAGTCGGCACATTAATATTTCGGCCTCCATCTGTCCCACGTTCACATAAATGTATTTGTAACGGTCAGATAACAAAACATTAGCGATTCCGACGATAACGAAGAAAAAGTCAGGAGCGACCCTAGGCATGCATTATCCTTCAGGGACGTGGCAGGGTGTGTTAAATCTTTCAACGGCGATGGTACTACCCGTGTGCAGTGCTGAATCGAAGAATACGAAAAATTGTTAGAACTGTGCAATTGGTCAAAACTACAGAAAATTATTTATTGCAAAACACTCCTGAAGGGATCGGTGAAGCTATTCATACAATTTAAAAAGTACGGGAAAACGTGAAGGAGAATAATGAAAGCATTGCTCGCAGAGTTTTCAGGCTCAGTTGATGCATACAAAGTGCACAAGATCTTGACAAAAAGAAAGAAGGAATCTTAGGAAACACACCAGGAATACATCTATAAAATGTGTGAAATAGCCACACAGGGAGGAATAGAGATAAGTGCGGTGATACAGTACATTATAGACATTATTCAAGACGAACGGTCAACAAAACCATTCTCTACAGTACAACCAGCATCATCGAACTAAAAAAGAAGTTTGCTCTGTATGAACAAATAAAAGAAGATATGCAATCAAAAACTCGGCGCCCGACTGGGAACGACGAGCGGAACCAGACACCAAACCGATCAGTGGAGGGAAAGCGCTGTTACAATTGCGGATCTTTGAGTTACATCGGATTAAAATACCCGTCGCTATAGAAATGTCCACGATGCTTTAAATGCAATGACGTTGGACACATCACAACGAATTGTTCGGAACGAAGGAATGCACCGAATGAGAGCTGCAACATCAACTGCACGTTTGACTCGAAAACTTTCAAGGATGTGAAACTACGGAACGAAGAAGTAGTGATTCAAACTTGATTTGAGTAGAACAATGTATTAAAATAGGTGCACCGAAATTAGATAAGAACATTCTTAAATTCCGAGGAATAAGATCCGACGAAATTTGTACACTAGGCAAATCGTAGAAGAAATAATAATAAACGATGACGTTTACTCCCTCACTTTACATGTTGTATCGGATACATTAATGCGACATAATCTTCTGGTTGGCAATGAATTTTTAAGAAAAGTCAAATTAAGTACCATCTATTCATCGAAGAAAATGTTAAAGTCGATCAAGTAGATCTGTCGCTTATCGTTGGTATAAAATGTCGGGAGAAAATAAGAAGAACGGTAGCGAATTATAAACCCACTAGAATACGTAACGTTGCGGTCAAAATGAACATTATACTGACAAATGAAACACCCATTTAGCACCGCCCGA